CGGAAGTGGCGCTGTGGCTCAAGTGGTAGAGTGCTAGCCTTGAGCTGAAGAGCTGAGGGACAGTGCCCAGGCCCAGAGTTCAGGCCCCACAACTGGACCCCCCAAAAAAACAAAATACATCATGCTGGGTGTTGGTGGCTCACACCTATAATCCTAGCTACTCAGGAGGCTGAGATCTGAGGGTTGGGGTTCAAAGCTAGCCCAAGCAGAACAGTCCATGAGAGTCTTATCTCCATTAACCACCAGAAAATCAGAAGTGGCACTGTGTCTCAAAGTGGTAGAACACTAGCCCTGAGCAAAAGAACTCAGGGTCAGTGCCCAGGTCTTGAGTTCAAGCCCTACAATTGACCCCCCCCCCAAAAAAATTATATCATAGTGTAGTTTGGGCTAGTTTGTACAGAAAGGCTGGATTGGCTCAACTTTAATATTTTTTTTTTAATCATTGTCTTAGTTTTTTTTCCTAATCAGAATCACATTTCTTCTCATATTTTGGTTTAGAATATGTCTTTGGAAACTACAGGATATAAAATTAGTTGTAGTCTAGTATAAGTAGAAATACAATTTTTAGAAAAAAAATGAGAAGAAACTCTTCTCACTTCTGTTTTTCTTTCCCTAGTTTTTCCATGGTTTGGCTTGGATATTGGTGGAACCCTGGTCAAGCTGGTTTATTTTGAACCCAAAGACATCACTGCCGAAGAAGAGGAGGAGGAAGTAGAAAGTCTCAAAAGCATTCGGAAGTACCTGACCTCCAATGTGGCTTATGGGTCCACAGGCATTCGGGACGTGCACCTGGAGCTGAAGGACCTGACTCTGTGTGGACGCAAAGGCAATCTGCACTTTATACGCTTTCCCACTCATGACATGCCTGCTTTTATTCAAATGGGCAGAGATAAAAACTTCTCGAGTCTCCACACTGTCTTTTGTGCCACTGGAGGTGGAGCATACAAATTTGAGCAGGATTTTCTCACAGTATGCATTTTTTAGCTTATATACAATTTATGGTAATTTGATTGTTAAAAATAATGCCAATTACTAGTGGTAGAATATTTTCCATTTCTAATGGAACTTGAATTTTCATGAGTGAAATGAAGATTTAATATGTTAGTGATAGGAATTAGACATCTACAGATTGTTGTATAGTTTACTTTTTGTTTAGCTAAGATTGTGTTAACAACAATCAGAACCTCTAAAAGCATAACACTTTGTCATTTCTGCAGTAGGAAAACTTAGTGAATCTGGGATAAGCAAAAATCAGGTCATAAAATTGGTATGTTATACAACTTAAAAACTTTGGTTCGCTGTGATCTTTTCAAGCCTGGTAGGTAGTGGGATCGTGAGATGGCTGATGGGGAGCTCTTGTCTTCCTGATGCTTGGATATAATCCAAATCCTGGTATAGTCAAGTGCTTTACTACTGATCTGCATTCCTACCCCTGTGCCATACTTGTTAATCTAGTTTCTAAACCATGTGTGGCCGTAGAGCCAGAACCACTGGGTATTTGATTTTGTTTCATTCTGTTAACACTTAGGCTAGCTAGGTCTTTTAAGGATGGCTATAGGCATAGGTTCTTTGAGGAAAGACATAGCATAGGCATATATGTTCTTTGAGAATGGATATAGGCATAGGCTTGAGAATTGACAGGTGAATTGGCCTGATCTTCAGGATACAATGTAGATTTGAAATATCCTTGGGGACTATATTTTTCATGCCACTAAATGAGATCACTTGACCAAAAGAGAAGATTCTGCCTTTAATCTATGTTATGGTACATAGTTTTCTTTTCTCCCTGTGTCATTTTGTGGTTTGTGATCTTGTCCTCTATGATCTTGTCCTCTTTTTCCTTTTTCCTGTAATTGCCTGTAGTAATCATAATGTACAATTGGCATGAATTATTTAACAAGGTTTTATATTTTCTGCTTGGGTTTTTCTTGGTGGTTTCTTTTCCTCTTGTGAATATAGGGAAGTAGCAGAAGAGAAGAAGTTTATCTTTGGTGGAAGTCTGTAGTGGACTTTGGACTATAACTAACATCAGTAAAGGAGAAAACTCCCTATTTCCAGGACCTTGTAGAGGCCCCTTGGAGGCCCCTTTGCAATGTGCTTTGAAACAATGCAAACTGTTAACAGCTTTGGTAATGCAAGAAGGATGTAAAATGGACTTTTTTATATCTAAGAATTGGTTCTTAGGAGCCAGTGTTGGTGACTCCCGCCTGTAATGCTAGCTACTCAGTTGGCCGAGATCTAAGGATCATGGTTTAAAGCTAGCCCAGGCAGGAAAGTCCATGAGACTCTTATCTCCAATAAACCACTCAACGTAACTGGAAGTGGTGCTGTGGCTCAAGTGGTAGAGTGCTTTCCTTGAGCTGAAGAGCTGAGGGACAGTGCCCAGGCCCAGAGTTCAAGCCCCACAACTGATCAAATAAAAGAAAAAAAAAAAGAATTGGTTCTTAGGCCAGTGAAGTTTTTATTTTGTAGGCACCACTGCTACCCTTAAAAACTGTTCTTTTGTTTGTTTTTTTGGGTCCGGTCACAGGGCCTGAACTCTGGGCCTGGGTGCTGTCCCTCAGCTCTTCAGCTCAAGGCTGCACTCTACCACTTGAGCCACAGTGCCACTTCCAGCTTTTTTCTTTTTGTTTATGTGGTGCTGAGGAATCGAACCCAGGGCCTCTGGCATGCAAGGCATGTGCTCTACCACTGAGCCACCTTCCCAGCCCCTACCCTTAAAAACTGAAATGCTAGCCGGGCGCTGGTGGCTCACGCCTGTAATCCTAGCTACTCAGGAGGCTGAGATCTGAGGATCATGGTTCAAAGCCAGCCCGGGCAGGAGAGACTGTGAGACTCCTATCTTCAATAAACCACCAGAAAACTGGAAGTGGCGCTGTAGCTCAAGTGGTAGAGCGCTCGCCTTGAG